TTCACAGCTTTGGACTATGGGAGGAAACTTGAGCACCTGGAGGAAACCTACACAGACAAGGGAAGAATGTGCAAACTCCACACAGACAGTCACCCGAGGCTGGGATTGAACACAGGTCCCTGGTGTTGTGAGGCTAATCACTGAACCACCATGTTGCCCCACATCTTTCCACATTTTGCTCAGGTAGAACATAAGAAATGATCACTTTACAAACTTCAGGCTCAGAATGAGTTTCCAGACAACAGGAACTGCTAATTATTTTGCAGTTGTCAAGAGCTGAATGTTTTCACCATTTGTGGATTTTGTTCAGTTTCATAGAGTCGTTAACAGCTGAGAACCTAATGTGTTGGTAATTGGTAAGACACGAGGTGAGAGTGCCGAAAGGAGTTTCTATGGGCAAATGTTGAGGTTAAAAGTGGTTATTTTACCTTTGTTCATTGGAAATTCAGATTCTGTGATTCACTATCAAAAAATGATAATATACCTAGACCTGCCTTTTGTGTCTGACTTGGCCCATTACTATCCCCTTTTGCCTGGCACCACCATGCATTCTGCTTTGCATCTTGCTCCACCTGCCTCTCCATTTGTTTTAAATCTGGAACATTTGTAACCTTTTCCTGTTGTGACAAAAGGTCACTGACCTGAAATGTTAACGTTGTTTTTCTCTCCACAAATGCTGCATGAATATTTCAAGCTTCCTTTGTTATAATTCAGAATTCCACCCTCTTACAGTATTTCTGCCTCTGCATAAAAAGAAATAGTATAAAAAATGCCACACTGAAGTAATAAGGAGTGCTCCACTAAGGTTAGGACTGAGGTACTTTTGGGGATGTGGATGAGGGTGGGGGCAGTTGGAGCAGAGACAGCTTTACTTGACATAGGGATACTTGATGGTGGAAATGAAAATAACTATCTAATGCTACAGCGCGGACATCCTTACACTTAATGAACACAGCAATGCTTGCAAAAGGTATTGAAATAGCATTCTAGCCTAACTGACATTGGAGTTAGAACAGACATGACATGATGTCAATTTTTAAATAAAAACTTATATATACGACCCTATTCGCAAGATAGTAAAAGGTCTTGATCCTCCCCAGTTACAAGATGGATCTTATCACAATGTTACGATTCACAACACACTCGATACGTGACATTTCTTCCTTTTCGTGGTATGTGGATGTTACGTACTGATCGGTACAGCATGCACACTGCAGCAGATTCATTTCCAACTCACAAGCCCAGAGCTTATACCGCCCAGAATACACGGCATTCATGGGAACTGGTCCCACAAGCACTGGCCCCGAATGCGTGCAGGGCACTCAACAGAATCCCACTCGAATGAACAAGCTTTGGCAAAACTGAACAGTGCAACGTTGAAAACTGTAGCACATGTAGCTGTATTCAAAGTAGCAGAAACAGTAAATCTAGGCGCCATGTGAACAGCAACCAGCGACGCGGTTCTCCACACAAGCCAAATCGAAGGAAAATATATTTTAAAAGTCCCTCGTCACTATGGGTTTTCGGAATTGATTTCATGTTTAGTGTTTTACAAGCTATGGTATCACTGGTGTAGCATGTTCATGGTATGTTGAAAATTGAAAACAAATGCGTTCTAATGACAGATGGGCGGTAAAAAAAAGTGCTCAAAGTCCACTGGGGCAAGCGTTTTGTAGCGACAGGGGGATAAGGAGAAAGCAGGGTGGGAGCGGAGCGTAGGAGGCTTATGTCTCTGTGCGTGTGTGAAGTCGCATTTCATTTTGACTGCACAATTCCTATTGAGAGGTCGTCCATTAACAAACATCAATTCATTCTTGGCTTCTATCGATTTGATTTGGCACAGGATCAATTTCTGAGAACTGCAAAATTAGATTTCGTATACTGTCCGAGAGCTCAGTAATTGCCTGGCAATGAAAGAGGATTCCCAGGTATCCCAACTGCTGCCTGGTACTAGAATCTAACCGAGCAAAGAAACAAAAAATGAGAAGGACTAATACTTGAATGAAATAAAGACAGTTGGTGAGGCTGAATAAAGTGAGGTGCCCTTGATCCAATAGCGACTAATCCTTTCTAAATTCATTACTGGGGTGCCTTTTCTGGATTATTGCGGAACCTTGAAGTAGCAGGATACCAAGTGCCACAAATTCAATTTGTGACTATGGGTTTGTAATTAACACGGAAAGAAAGCTCGCTATTGTAATATTTACAACTGATGGATTTGATTTGTCGCTTTCTGGATGTGCAATGAGAATTGTACGTTTTCATTAGATGGATTAGGTTCTGATAAAGCTTATAAAATGCTGATCGTGGGGGTGTTTTCATGATCAAACTTGACGGTATTCTAACTTTTGTAAAACATTATTCTTAATTCTAGTATTATTAACCCTACAGCTGGCATGTTTTATTTCCACGGTGTTAATAAAAGCGCGAAAATAGTTTCTCTTACCTTGAATGACAGGAGGGTCTGAAGAAAATGGCAGCTTCTAAAACATAGCAATAGGTACTACTTTGAATCAAGCCTATTTGCCTCTCGGTTTACTGTTCTGTGGATGAACAGTATTCTCTGTGATAAGGCCCTGACCAATTTCAAGAAGTGCACTTTAATTTCTAAATCCCTGCACATGCAGCAGATACTGAGGAAGTTATGTGTGTGCTGGGAAACAGAACACCCGGACCAAGCTTCAGTGCGAAGATCGGATCGGATTCATTGCTTTATTCAGTAACACTAGGTACAGTGAGATAGAATAATAAGTCCACTGTACTAAAACATTCTGAATGTACTTCACAGTTAGTTTAATTGCGGATAACATTTATCAATTGAGACAACTAATCATATTTGTAGCGTCTTCTGGAGAGTGTTTATTCCTCCAGTGTTTTGACCCAATAGCACATATGGAACCCGCTTCATGTTTGGCTTGGATTTGCATTATTTGCACATTTTAACAACATCTGTATGTTCCAACCCTGAATAAAAATGCTGTCAAAACAACCCGATTACAGGTAAACATGGGATTATATTTACTCCTAAACTCTGAGTGACACTAACATTTATTTATGAAACATTGGATGAACGTCGCGCTGATGAATCAGTAGCTGCTTTTGGTAGAAATGGCTGAAAGATGAAAGAACAGTGAGGATATTATAGCAAGGGTATGAGGTTAAGTTGCTGAGTACTGGCTCCCTGAACTCTGTGTACTTCTGTTTCGTGGCACGTCGAAAATAGATATGCAACAGGTTGTTGTGCATGAAGATATATGAAAGTAATGTGTGTACAGCCGTATCGCATATGCTGTATTTACAATCTGATACAAGTTGCTGCATTGCTTCTTATAATAAAACGCAAACCATTTTTCGCTACCTAACAAGACTGAAATGATTAGTATATACTGGATATTTATACTTGATAATTACCAAAATTTGTTGAAACATGATTAACTGATGCGCTTCAAACATGTATTTGCATTCTGGCCCCTCTTTCATGTTGTTTCTAATTCTTCGTTGATGTCTGTCCACATCATATTCTTGAAGAAAGGATTGATTGATGCTCTCTCTCTCGACATTGGAATGAACCTGTTACCCGGCCCTTACCAGCAAATGTTGCCTCAGCTTCCCTCTTCTGAGTGAATTCTCTCCTCGCATTCCTCTGCATCTAAGGCCTGTGGGTGATGGGAACTCACCGCGTCGGGAAACGTGTGGATGAAACCATGCTTTACCTCTCTCAAATATTTAAACTGAAGCATTGTTACGCAAACAACATTCACAATTTCTATCACAACATGACGAGGACTTTACATTGAACAATGTCACCGCTCAGGTTTACTGCTAACGTACTTGATTGAAATGACAGTCACTCTAATTCGCATTGTCAGGCCAACTCAGGCATTCCTCACACACTTTCGATCACAAATTTGCATATATTATCACATCGAAAAACACGCGCTTCACTACGGACGACAAATCGATCATTTAGGGCAGTTGCCAACATGTGTAAGTCAGAGTGCCGTGCTGTAGGTTTTGCTTCTGTTTACAAATAGCGACTACCCGAAACTGATGATGATGGTGAGTACGCTACACACGATTAAACCGGGAACTCAGAATCCTAAAGCAATTCTTCGCCAAATATTTATATCATTTTGGTATTCTCTCATGTATTTCAGACCCCAAACAGCAGCCTTGAGATTTACACAGGTGTTCGATTCCACAACTGGACATCTCTCTCTCACTCTCTTCCTTACCCGTGTTACTACCACATATTCCCCTTCATTCTGACCCCTCTGCTTTTTTTCTGTTTTGCTCTCATTAATTGTAGTCACTTTCTCAAGTTGTCCCCTCGCGTTGTTTTCTCCTCTTTAGTAATTCACTCTCAAATTTCATAAATCATCTCTCCACTGTTTCCACCTGCTTTTAGATTTTCCACGTCCCTCGCCTGGTGTTTCTGTTACATGCGTTTTATGTGCCCTTTATAAAGTCTCCAGACCCGCTCCATTTCTCCAGTGCAACCGTCTCACTGTCCCACCTTACTATAATATTCCAGTTGTTTTGCCTCGTGCCGTTTTTATGTATCAGCTTCCTTTGCTCAAGGTTACTGGGGCTCTTCCACTCGCTCACAAATGTGCTCAACGTCGATTTCTGTACCTTCTCTAGCCTGATTTCTTGTGACTATTTATACATTAGCACTTTGTAGCTTTGTTCTTTGTTCCCCCCATTCCCGCGACTCCCCGGATTTTGTCATGTCCATGAAGCTTAAAATATAGCGGCTGTGTTTAGGAACTCCGACCGAGCTCCAAACTAACTAAGCGGGCAGCCAGCACACCACTAAACACTTGGCATCGCCCCGTTCTTGGCTCAGTTCTGCAGGTCTTTCTGTAAAACCATCAGACGAGGATGGGAACCCACTGGACACCCTCAATGACTCAGACACCTAGAGTCTTTTTAAAGTTATAATCGGCATCTGTGCAATGGTTAGGAAAAACAAGATTTCAAAATAAAAATCCACTTACTAGCTGTCACTAGGCGGAAATCACAAGTAATTAACACCAGCATTGCGGAGTTCAAATACAAGGGGAATCGTGCCATGCTGTCCGCTCCAGATAACACACACACCGTCTTTCCAGCAGCTGTAAATGACACATGAAAACAATCCTGACGCCTTCTCTACACAGATATTTCGAAAGAGATAAGACCGTAAATGCTAATTTCCCCGACTCCCATCGGACCGAGTGACAGTGTCTCAGTCTCAAGTCATTGGTTCCAGGGCGAAGGCAGGAGCTGTTGCTGAAAGTTCACTGCAAGGGAAAGCGTTTCACGGGGAAATTAAAAGATAATAAGTCCCTCGGGATCAAGTCTGAGCTTTCACAGTTAGATCCCTTCGCTGCTTGGAAGATGCCGGATTTAGAACACGTCCCTAAACTGTGGAATCATTCAGCAGAAGGCGGGAGTAGACACTGGAAGCTCAGTGAGGATAATGTCGCCTGAATGATGAGGCAAAACGATCATTTCACGCTCAGGAACAGAGGGTACGTGAGATAATAAAGGAGGGGATAAAAACGGCTCCTTACAGAACTGAAAGTTCCCCGTGATGTGGGGGAGAGTGAAGACTGACGGCGGGGAAAGCCCGCCTGTCGGTGGCAGGGATTGGTTTGTGGAGAAGGGAGTCATTCGCAGGTCGGCCAGTGAACAGTCACTGACAGTGTCGGCCTGGCTTGCCGCCACCGCAGCATGAGAGAAGCTCCAATGAGCCGCTCACTAGGGGAAAAGGTGGAAACGTTTGCACAGAGCACAACAGAGCAATGAGTTCATGTGCCAAGTTTCCTTGCAAGGACAGGCGTTCAGCCGCGGCTAAACACATTTAAACATGCCGCCACAAAATGAATTTTGCATTGATATCACTCATTGTCAGGTTTGCAACCGGCTGCTGTGCAGAACTTTAAAAAAAACACAAGACAATGTAGCCTCATTCCGAGGAGCATCGCTGTAATGAAATCCAGCGTGTGATAAGAAAGGAAGAGTGACGGGTCATTTAAACGATTAAATGTGCAATTATGTAACTGCATCATCAGTCATATCAACATTTTTGAAATAAAAGTGAGACAAATAATCCTAACATAGATTTTAAGTGTCTTCGAAGTCAATATAATATGAGGACTGAATTGTTCAATTGAACACATATAGTGTAATGATGAGCACTGTGGAGCAAAAGTTCATGAAATTATTTCTTGAGGATGTCAAATATCCATAAAACTGGAGGTCAACTCAAGTGAGAGTGTAAACCCAGCTTCTCAATTTTCCACTGACCTAATTAAGCCACAGTTGGCAGAAACTAACGCAGTCACTTTTGATATAATCCAAATATGAAATAGTGGCAGCAAGCAAATTTGAAAACACAAGCTTTTGGAGGTTTCTACCTCTCTCACTAACACTTGAAGAAGGACCGAAACTCCAAAAGCTTGTGTTTTCAAATAAACCTGTTGGACTATGACCTGGTGTTGTGTGACTTCTGACCTTGTCCATCCCAGTCCAACACCAGCACCTCCACACCATGGCAGCAGGAAAGTCATTGCCATCATCATACAACAGAAGCACATTGTTTATTGAAGCAAAACTGCAGCTGGTAGAGTGGTTGCTAATGGTTTTGGATAAGTATCCTATTAACATTTGATGCACAGTATAAAGAATTGAAACAAAAACAATGTCCTGTGGATGCTGGAAATGTGAAATACAAAGTACGGGAGAAACGCTGCAGGTCTGACAGGATCTTTGGACAGAGAAACAACTTTCAAGTCCAATTCTTCTTCGGTATAACAAGGAACCAAAATATGTCCCTGCCCTTACATTATTTCATTATTTTCTTTCATAACAACCGGAGCAAAACAGGGATTCAGCACATCCATCTTTTCTCTATTGTTCCTTCTCATACTTTGGTGGCCCCATCCTACCTTAATTTCTCTTTTACAGTTTGTCTCTTTAATGGAACATTACTATTTCTTTATATATTCTTTGATAATTTGATTTCATTTCACCTTCCAAATGGGTAATTTTTCAATTTGTCTCTGAAGCTATTTATATTTCTCTGCCATTCTTTCCAAAAACATCTCATATCTAATTTTCTTGCTGTTTCTGTCGTCTTTACTCATCAATGGTGAACCAGAATTAGTTTGTCTGTTCTTGGCTTTTAGCAGAACATATTACTTTTGAACAATTTGGTTACGCTTTTAAAAATTGCTCAATATTTTTCAAACTTTTAGATTGCCGATATTTTCTAACAATTTGCCTTCTTTAGTTCCAATCTCAGGTCCTAACAATTTGCACGTTTTTATTACATCAGACTTTGAGCTGGATATGTCACTCTCAATCTTTGACGCTTACAATGGTGTGATCAATACTATTGAGATGCTCTCCTATTCTTACTTCCCCTATCCGTTCTAATTTATTACTCACTGTAAGATCCATTTATTAATCACTATAAGACCCTTTAATTGTTGAACTTCTTACATTCTGAGTGAGACTGAAGTTCTGTATACTCTGTAAAAACTCAATCCTCTTTTCCCGTTTTACAATTTCTTAATACCAGTTCTTTTTTGGAGGTAATTGAAACTTCACATGATTGTTATTCTGTTCATAGCATTTTCTAATACAAATTATAAAAGTTTCAGACAGTAGCTTCAAAGAAGAATTAATTTTAAATGTAATTATTAAGTTATCAATGAGACCAAATGTTAGAAAATGTTTTTGCTCATATTGAAGAGAGAGGAAAAGATAATTGAGCTTTTGCAGTGTATAGCGGACTGAATTTCATTCAGTGTATCAGAAATTAAATCAGTTTTTTTTTGTTTATTCATATAACATTTATTTTGCCATTAGATTATTCTGTTTGGATAAAACTATCTAATTAGAATAAAGCCTCTAGAAAATTCACCAAATAAAGGAACAAAATTGAAATGATCTCATCTGTACTGGTTAAATTAGAAAATGCCATTAAATTTATACTTTTGACCAAGAGCATTGTTTGGCATGCTGCCCTACATTGACCTATTAGCAGAGTTAAAATCTGGCTTGTGTGTCCCCTGTTTCCTGCTGTTATGTTAGATCTCATGTATTTCCTGTATTTTTCATTATCTTAGACTTTTGCAAGTTTTCATTGACTCACTGAGACGATGTTTTATCTTACTTGGCAAGAACCTGATTCTCTTGCAAGGAGTTTCTCCATTGCAGAAAACCATTCATTCAGTTACCATTGGCATTTGTAATCTCTGTTCCTCCCTTTTTCTTGTTCTTCCACTATGTGAAATTATTTGTTTGTCTTTCAGTTTTGAAGAAGGGTATATACTATAAATATAAATTTGCTTTTCCTTTCCACTAATGTTGATGAATGTGCATATTGATATTGAGGTTCTACTAAAGAATAAAAGAGAATTCCTTTTTAAGATATAGACAACTTGGTTAAGTTGAATCTCTTAAATCAATAAGAAGAGTGTAGGGGCATTCTTAAGAGAGAAATCAGGAAGGCAAAGATGGGATATGAGATAGTGTTGGCCGATAAGGTTAAGGATAATCCAAAGAGATTCTACAATTACATTAAGAGCAAGAGGGTAAGTAGAGAGAGGGTTGGGCCACTTAAAAATCATGGAGGTTGTCTTTGTGTTGAACCCCAGGAGATGGGAGAGATACCAAATGAATGAGGTTGTAGACTTGCTCGCCAAGCCGGTGTGTTTGAGTTTCAGATGTTTCATCGCCCTGCTAGGTATACAGAGTTTTTAAAAGGAATGGATACCCGCAAAGCACAATCTGCCATTGCCTCTGTGACAGACCACCACAAGAAAACATAACATGGTCACACACTAGTCACCCTACCATACATCAGAGACATATCAGAGATGACCACAAGACTACTCAGACCCCTAGGTATCAGGGTAGCTCACAAACCCAACAACCACCTGAGACAGCTACTGACGAATGTAAAGGATCCCATACCCACAACCAATAAACCTAACTTAATATACAAAATACCATGCAAGGACTTTCAGAAACATTATATAGGCCAATTTGGAAGAAAACTGACAATAGGATACATGAACACCATCTAGCCACCAAGAGACAAAACCAGTTCTCACTGGTCTCAATACACACGGACAAAGAAGGACACAAATTTGCCCAGGACAACACGTCCATAACAACACAAACCAAACAGAGACATGCCAGGGAATTCCTGGAGGCCTGGCATTTGAACTGGAACTCCATCAAACACATTGAACTGGACATATACAAACCACTGAACAACAGAACTGGAAGTGATGCCAACCACTCCAGCAAAGCGAGGCATATAAACAACAAATGGGACAGAACACCAACACTTCACCTGAGGCGCACTGACGATGCTACCTAGCAGGGTGACGAAATGTCTGCAATCAAACACACTGGCTCAGCGAACAAGTCTACAACCTCATCCACAACCCGAGCTACAAATCTTCTCAAAAAACTTTACACCGAATGAATATTTTGCATCAGTTTTTACTGTAGAGAAAGAAATGGAATCTAGAGAATGCAGAGAAATAAATTTTGTTTTAAGAACAGTTCACAATACAGAAGAGGAAAGTTGGGAATTCTTAGAGATTATAAAGGTGGATAAATCTCCAGGACCTGATCAAATCTATCCCAAAATATAGCGGGAAGTAAGGGAGGAAATTACGAGACCCCTTGCAGAAATATTTGCATCACCTATAACTACGGGTGAGGTGTCCCATGGCTGGATGCTGGCTAATGTTGTACCTTTGTTTAAGAAAGGTTGTAAGAAGAAACCGGGGAACTACAGACCTGTGAGTTTGACTTTGGTTGTGGGTAAATTGTTGGAGATGATTGTAAAAGATAGGATTTATGGACATTTAGAGAGGCAAAAACTGATTAGGAATAGTCAGGTGGTTTTATGCGAGGAAAATAGTGTCTCACAAACTTGATTGAGTCTTTTTTGAGTAAGTTACCAAAACGGTTGATGATGGCAGAACAGTAGACGTTTATTTGGATTTTAGTAAAGCCTTTGACAAGATTCCGCGTGGTAGTCTAATTAGTAAAGTCAGGTCAAATGGGATTCAGGGTGCACTTGCCAATTGAATACATAATTGGCTTAATGGCAGGAGACAGGGAGTAATGGCGGAGGGTTGCTAAATGCAAGGTACTGCATTTTGGTAC